GCCTATTTTCTCAGAATCTCAGACTGAACTTTTCAGGAAGTCGACACCTAATATTTTTCACATGTGGGTGTTTCGGTTTGGTGCGTCAGTTTGCTTTGTTTCTCTGCAGCTTCTGGATTTTCTCCGCTAATGTTGTTCTCCTGCTTCAGGTGTTATGGAGCTAACTGAAGGTGGAGGACAAACCCTGTGACATGTTGGCCCAAGCAGAATCATGGCATCTTGGACCTCCTCCTAAACATCACAAGCTCCTAGTGTCGTCATGGCCTCCAGCTATGCACCGCCGTTTGAGGGCACAGGTGAAGTAAAGGAGGGCTTTCTCTGCCCTCTGTGCCTGAAGGACCTCCAGTCTTTCTACCAACTCCAGGGCCACTATGAGGAGGAGCATTCAGGAGACGATCGGCATGTTCGAGGACAGCTCAAGAGTATGTACAGTAGCAGATAATCTTCTTAGTGAAACTGTGTGAGTTAATGGTTTGAACTGATTTCAGCTGAATTTGGATCAATTTAGATTCCATATAACTGAAATATTACAACCAGTTCACCTTCAGACAGGCTGTATGAAAGAAAATATAATTTATTGAAGCAAAGTAGTTGTTATATAAAAACAGCATTCTCTGACAGCAATGCTTTTGAGTCCAGAAAAATTTCAGTTTTTTTTTTTTTTTTTTTTTTTTTTTTTTTTTTTTTTTTTGCAGTTTTCTATTCAACGTGGTGGTAAAATGCTGAAATATGACCATTTCTGTCCCATTCAGATTGTTTTTCCCCCCCTCTTTTATTGCTATGTATTTAGATTTGGTTCAGAAGGCAAAGAAAGCCAAAGACAAACTGTTGAAGAGGGATGGAGACGACCGACCAGACACCGGCAGTTATGAGTCCTTCTACTACGGTGGGGTCGACCCATACATGTGGGAACCTCAGGAACTGGGTAATACTCTACTTCTGTAACATATAATAAATATATAAAAGTGCAAGTAAAGCAAAAAATAAAGGGACAATACACAATTGTTTGAATTTGTTACATTTATCAAGGTTTTATGCTTTTATTTTCCCCCACAGGAGCAACTAGAAGTCACCTGGACCTGTTTAAGAAACACCGGGCAGCGCGCATCGATCATTATGTTATTGAAGTCAATAAGCTCATCATTAGACTGGAAAAGGTTTGCCCAATAAATATTGCAAAGTGCATAGTTTTCTTCCTGCTCTTTTCAATTTAATAACGCAACTATTAACTATGCAAAATTATGTATCAGTTGACGGCGTTTGACCGAGCCAACGCAGATGCTGCTAAAATTAGAGGTCTGTTTCTTTAATCCTCCAAAATCATGTCGGCTTTCTGCCAGTCTGAACTTGTGTAGCAAACAAAGGATTTTCCTCCTCTTGTGCAGCCATTGAGAAGTCTGTGGTGTCCTGGGTGAGTGACTCCGATGTCCCCTTCTGTCCCGATTGTGGAAACAAGTTCAACATCCGAAACAGACGCCACCACTGTCGGCTCTGTGGATCCATCATGTGCAGGAGGTGCATGGAGTTCGTTCCCCTGCCTTTGGCCCGTACGTAGCAACACTTTGAAAATCTGAAGTCGTGTCTTGGGTCTGTGCTTTTTGCTAAGTTTCTTTACACATTTAAACAGAGAAGCTCATCAATGGCACCCGAGAAGCTCTGTGTGTGCCTGGAAGCCCCAGTCAGTCTCAGTCTCCTCCAGCGGGGGGCGGAGGCAGTGGGATGGGCTCCAGGAGGGGCAGCATCACCAGCTTGAGCAGCGTAGCGTCCATTTTGGAAGAGAAGGATGATGAGAAGATCCGCTGCTGTCACCACTGCATGGACACTCTGCTGAAGAGGCAGCAGAAGTTGGAGGAGAAGGATCACGTTCCAGATATAGTGAAACTTTATGAGGTAGGTGGAACCACTGGAGCGCAGCTGATTATCTTTTGAGTTCCTTCCTGTCATTCATCGTTTTCCTTCGAGGCTTCCTGCTCACAGTCATTGTCTTCCTGTCAGAGGCTGAGAATGTGCATGGAGAAGGTGGAGGAGAAGGCTCCAGAGTATATCCGAATGGCTGAATCCCTCAAGTAAGCCACATTAGAAAGTATTAATAAAAAAAAAAAAATTATAATTTATTTGAAAGAAATTTAGTCTCACTAAATTCTCACCCTATGCAATTATTTGTGTATTTTTTCTTTTACTTTAAATTTGCCTGCAAAAATTCGGCCTGCAGAAATTCGTTGTAAAGAAATTCATTATGAAATTTGTCCCAGTCAGAGGAGCAACTCTTAATAGCTACAGTAACCAGCTACCTGTTTGTCACATAATCAAAGTAGCATAATTCAGTTGGCTAAAAGCAGCTGGACTGATTGTTTTGGCTTGAGTCACTAAAAAAAAAATCACAGCATTTGAAGACAAGTTTTTGATGGTGAATATCTGCAAGCTAAATTTTTGCTAGTAAGTTTAAAGTACAAAAAACTCACAAATTATGGCACAGGATAAACATTCTGTACCATCTACTGATACATTTTCTTCCATACATTTGTGGCTTACCTTTATTCTGAAATGATGATAATCTACTTCCTCCTTTCAAAGCGCCGGGGAAACCACATACAACCTGGACACTGCTGGAGGACTGAGGCTGGAAGTGCAGAAATACTACGAACTCATTGATGCTCTAAGGTACATGCTGTTCGTGACAGAGGGTTTTTACAGCTGAAAGGACTGAGAGATTAAACTGAATTATTTTCTTCTCAGTAAGAAGATTTTAACACTGGGGACGAAAAGTGAGCCGCAGCCACACCCGAAGGCGCTCCAGCTACAGAGGATGATACGCTACACAGCCACGCTGTTTGTCCAGGTGATACAGGGAGGATTCACACCAGCTGTGTTTAGTAAACACGTGCATTCACACACGGTTACCTAGAACACGTGAATGCACAGTTGAACTGTGATGTGCCTTCAAACGTAGGTCTCTCTTCAGTTGAAGTGAACTCTGTTGCGGTTCAGATGCATATGCGAATGCCAAATGGAACCTCCAAAAGCAGGAAGCAAAGTAGAGTGCAGGGCATTCTGGGTAAATGTAACCTAAATAAACTTGTGTGTCTGGCTTTAGCGGGAGAATTGGCTTGTGGTTTTACGGATGACAAAGGAGAAATCCTAAAAGCCCAATTTGTGTTTACATTTCGTGAAGAAGGAAGTTCTTGTTTCACTTTCTCTAGAAAGTGAAGCTACAGTTACCAGCTACCTGTTTGTCACATAATCGAAGTAGCATAATTCAGTTGGCTAAAAGCAGCTGGACTGATTGTTTTGGCTTGAGTCACTAAAAAAATCACTTCACTTTGCTTCACTTTCTAGAGAAAGTGAAGCAAGAACTTCACTTTCGAAAGTGAAGTTCTTGCTTCACTGAAGGAAACACTGAAGAGGTTTCCTTCAGTGTTTCTTGGTGTAGCCCCAAAGGCAAGGGAAGGAACAGATTTTTCAAAGGTTTTGTTTGTTTGTTTGTTTTGGTCCCTAATTGAACAGTCTACCAGACTATCGCCATAATGAAGACTCTTTGTGAATGGAAAACATTCACTCATTTTCATTTTATTTTTTTGGTTGTTGTTTTTCCAGGAGAAGCTTTTGGGGCTGATGTCTTTACCCACTAAGGACAAATATGAAGAGCTGAAAGAGAAGAGGAAACAGGACCAAGAGAGACGACTCCAACAAGAGAGACAGGTAAGATTCTCCACCTACACCTTTATTTCCTTTCTCTGAGATAACAAGTCGCTAAATATTAAATATCTCCCTGGACAACAGGCGGCCCAGGAGAGTCTAAAAAGGAGGCAGGAGTATGAGAAAAACCGCCCACCGGTTAATGGAGAGCTGCCGCAGGCCTCTAGAGGCCCCCGCATGACCAAGGCTGGCGGCTGGCTGCCCTCTGCTGACTCCGCCCACGCTCGCAGCGAGCTGGAAGACCCCCTCTTACAGCAGATTGAAAACATTCAGTCATTCCTCCGTCAGGCGCGTGAAGCTCAGCGGACAGATGAGGTCGCCATGTTGGAGGAGAACCTGCGTCAGCTGCAGGATGAGTACGACCAGCAGCAGACCAGCATGGCCATCGCTCTCTCCCAAAAACTGGCGCAGGAGGAGAGCTTGCAGCAAGGGGAGCTGCAGCGCCTGGAGGAGAGGGAGAGGGAAGGAAGGGAGCAATGGGGCTCCACTTTCGTCTCCACGCAGCCGTCCTTCACCTGGGAGCCGTCTCTGGATATCAACCCAGCAGGAGATCACCAGGTGGAGTCGGGGGTGGAAACTACGGCAGAGATCCCGACTCTGAAAACCGAGGCCAGTCCATCAGCCGTCAGAGCCCTCTCCTCGCTCACACCTCTAGAGGATTCTCCTCCAAGACTAAGGAGCTTAGGGGGGCACATAACCCCGCCTAGTGGTGAAGGACAGAGCAGCACTTCCCTTAACCCTTTCGAAGAGGAGGACTCCACTCCCATTGAGGAGGATCCATCCAATCCCTTCTTCGAGGACATCAAGAAGGAAGTTTCCAACGGCAAGAAGGAATACAACCCCTTTGAAGAAGACACAGACAGAGAGGACCAACAGGCTGAAACTACACCGAGCAACCCGTTGGGGGAGGACGACGCAGACGCAGGCAACCCCTTTATGGACGCCTCTGGGAACTCGCCCGAGGCCTCCACCAACCCCTTCGACGGGGACGTCGACGACGAAACTCTGCCCGATGTGGACATGATAGAGGAAGAGCTGCTGCTCCAGCAGATCGACAACATCAGGGCGTACATCTTCGATGCCAAACTCAGCGGGCGGCTCGACGAGGTTGAGCTCTTGTCGGAGAACCTCAAAGAGCTACAGCACACTCTGCAGGAGCAGAAGAAGAAGAGGCACTAACAGTCTGGCTCCGATCGCCTGCTATTTACCAAGTTGTCCGAGGCTCGCACACTTTAGGAATGGTCAACCCAATTTACTGCAGTTTGAATGAAATCTGATCCATCAGACGCTAATTAAAAATGTGTACCTAGAGTTACGATCCCTAATTTTCTAACATATTTTTAGATCATTTAGGGTTGCATAGGGCTGAGCTCAAACCCATGCATGAGCTTAAATCACAGAGTAAAAATTAATTTGTACAGGCACACTTACGGAGTTGTAACAATGCAAACACGAACAAAGGAAGACAGCAGAATGTTATTTGAATGAGTTGGATGATGTGGTTTAGTTCTTCAGGTGAAGCTGTGAACAAAGTCCAAAAGTTTTAACTCTGCCTCTGTGCATTTCCAACAGTGCCAAGAACAACACTGGGAGTGAAGGGTTAACTTTTAGGTCTGCAACTGTAAACGTCTTAAAATTAGAATAACTTCTATAGCAGCGAATTAACCAATTGTTGACGTAACCCAATAGGTTTGTATTAAGAGTTAAAGGTGCATTACACCATAGTCATTTTTACGTGTACATGCTAAGAAATTTAAGCTTAGAACTGTTTGTTTCCCTACAATAACAGTGACAGAAATACTTGGACGTTAAAATCTGCACTAATGATTTCTTTCTGTTAATCTAAACTCCAACTGTGTCTGAAAGTTTTGATCAAATGAATTAGATAAACTGCTTTTTATGCACTTCGCTTTGAGAAAAAAAAATAAAAAATTGTGATTCCACCTAAAGCCAACAAAGACAAAAAAAAAAAAAAAATAAAAGAATTCATGTCCTACTGTGACCCAGCAGGGTGAGGTGATGTTTTGTTTCGTTTACGGTGAGCCTCGTGTGTCTGTTTGATGTTGAACTCGTGGCTGGACTCGTCTTCCCGCTCTCCCGGTGCATGTTATCGCTTTAGATCTTCAATCCAGAGTTTATCTGAACAAGCTCACTCGTCCTGCGCGAACTTAACACAACGACACTGTTTAGCAAGGAACACTGTAGACGGCCGTTAATAAAGGGTAGGATGCTCAAATCTGCGCGCCTAGAAATGATGATTATAGAAAACTTAAGACACTTGTTAGATGTATGCTAACACTACATGAATGCCAGCAGTATTATGATCCAGGGCTGCTATGTTTGCTCCAACTTGAATTTGTTGTGCTTTCCGTCAGGTTTTCCATTTTCTTTGCGTTTATCTGCTAAACTGTAACATCTGCAGATCATCAGAAACCTGTGGCAGAGATAATTTTGTGACGTTGTGAATTCCTTACATGTATGTTAGCAGTTGATTTTAGTTTTTAGGTAATTGCAACATGCCTACATTAAAACAAGGAACTGCACAATGATTCACAGCCATCACTTTCGTAAGAGGAAGTTTCTTCAACACAAATAAATTCATCTGTAACAATATTTTGTGATGTTTTTTTTTTTTGTTCCTAACTTTGTTTCTAATCTCCTGGCAGGTAAAAAAAATATAATTGGAATGCCACTGAATGGGTTTTATTTCAGAAAAATTAAGTTTCAACATGAAACGGGTATAGACCCATCACCACCCAACCTGTGTTTTAAACATTCCTGCCAGTTTTGACCTGCAATAACACAAGATTCATTCTCTTAAAACATAAATCGTTTACAAGCAATAAAAACAGAGAAATATTCAAGTTAACCCAATCATGGGGATTGCAGTTGAAATGAGCGCTCAGTAAATAGACATCCTCCACGTTGCTGGAAAGTTGGGTGGAAGGTAAAAGTGTAGTAGAATAACCTACACAGGAATAATTAAAGCCTTGAGAGAATTGTGATGTAAAGGAAATTCAAGAGTTGGGGGAGATTGGAAAGGTGTGAACTTCAGCTGGAGTCGGAGCTAAATCTCTTTTTGTGGAGTCACACCTGCACCAGAGAAAATGAGAAAAATGGACTGCTGCTGAGTGGTACAAACTCCTCTTTAAACTAAATTTAAAAAAAAAATCAAAGTCCAGAGAACACATGGAGAAGCACAGGGTCTCAAGTTGCCTGAAGTTCAGTGTGAAATTTCAAAACTTGGTGATGATTTCAGAATCATGTTGGTCCATTGTGCTTTTTCTAGTCCAAAAACTAAAAAGTACCAGGAAATATTGCAACGCTCCGTGCTTCCCTCTACCGACGAGCTTTATGGAGACTCTGCAGGAAAGTTTAGAAACACCAGAATCAACAATGCAGACCAGCTGAAGGCCATTACTGTAATTTGACACAAATTTTATCAGCGTGTAGCAAACTTATGTTGGTCATAACTCTTATTTGAATTTCTGAAATAAATTATGATATCCTAATTTACAAAGATGCACTTGTGTCAGCCACATTATGACTAGATTAGATTAGATTGAAGGAGTTCTCTTCGAGCAGTAGAAAAGTAACTTTGACATCACTAAATTAGTACAACAGAACAGTAGATGGGGGTTTCTTAGTTTCCAGGATTGGCAGGATGAGTCAATATGGATTACACCATCACTTGCATGCACGAGACTGAGAATTTTTGAGTGTAAAACTTTATCCCAGCAGTAACTCAAACATACATATTAACCTGCACAGAATTTCACATAAATGAGCTATTGAGAGTTGGACGTTAACATCTGTATTGATGAATGTTAAAAGTCTGTGTGAAAATGGTGGAGCAGATCATCGTGTGTCAGTGCGATGCTGCAGCTTCTGGCTGGAGCATATGTCCTTTAATATAGCCATCACAGCCAGATAAATGTCCAGAGGAGATGTAAAAGTGAGCTGCTTGGCCTCTCAGTCCTGTGACTGTGCCATCTTGGCTCTGTATTTGCCCGTCATCTCCTTTGGAAGCGGCTTGGTGCCGGGACACGGCACTTGGCCCGCGACTTCACAGATGCACTCCCTCAGACAGTACTTCTTTGGGCCGAAGTTGGCAGGGTGGGACGCCTGCATCTTGGCTTGAGCTTCAGCATGCAGCACTTCACTACAGAGAGAGGAGAGCAGAACAGCTGCATTAACAGGCTGCCTCAATATGAGTTGGCTTTTTTTTGTCATGTCAGAGCTGAATATTAGCTTTTGTCAAGGCTGATAAACTGAGTGACGTGAGCTCTTTGCTTTCCCATTTTAAATAGTAAAGACATCTTCAGCGCTTGTTCACATCTGTAAATAAATACAAACTCATAGCAATTTCATGAACACCTTTGAGTGCCATAAAACACCATCCATACTTACTCTGATTTACCCAGAATCTTCTTTACATGCTGTGAAATTTGCTTGCAGTCCTTTCCCTCCACATCCACCAGGACCTGTTCACCATCATCTAAACAGAGGCGGAGTCAACCTCAAAGTTAAGACAGCATCTAAAACAATCCTTCACCAACATGAGAAATCTCTCACACACACACACCCAGGTAAAACTTGAGGAAGGGCGATGGTGTCATATTCTTGAACATCATTATTTGGACCCACGGGTTCTTGTACTGAATCTGCGGGATGTTGAAGAACACAAACTTCCTGGAAGACATAAAATAAAGAATAAACATCTTAAAACTATGCAGGAACTGATATAAACTGCAATACTCCCGATTGATTAAACTACATGTGACTGCTGCAGTGTAATGTGGCTGTAAACCTAGTGCTTGTGTGATGCTAAGCCGTTAGCTCTGACCTTGCTCCTTCGCCGAGCTCTCCATGTGTGTTGTAATTCACGGTCATGATCTTCACCTTCTTCTTAAAGATGATGTCGCCCTTCTGGAGGTACTCCAGCGTCCTTCTGATCGGATACCTCCCTTTCATAGGCATGTTTACCTATTTACAAATCAATTTTATTTGGAAGTCACAAGCGCACGTACGCGGTGCTTGACGCAGTTTGATGACGTTCCACTACGTCAAGTAAACACCACGAGCTGACGGTACTTGTAGTTTTAATAAATTCGCAGTTACATCACTTAATCTTTTCTCCTGATTGTCATGCATTTTGCCACCGTTCTTCAACTTATGGATTCATCACTGTTCCAACTCACTTGAATCAAAATGCTAAATTGCCTCCTTAGCATATCAGCAGGTTTTGCACAGGTGTGTTGGAGAAGGTAAGCATCCAAAAGTTGCAGGACAGTGGCATATGACTTGAGTTGCAGACTCCTGGCTTATGAAGACTTTTGCCAAATTAATCATACTTCTGGAACTTTCAGTTAACACATTTTGCTGCAAACTTCAACATACACAATTGGCATTTTCTATGGCTGCAAAACACAAAATCGAATATTTATTTTATTTTTTACACAAAATCCTGACAAAACCCCCTTTACTCTTATACCTCTAAATAAAAAGCCAGTGTAAGATTGTTTATACTTATTTTTTTTTAAATGACTTTTTTTTTTTTGCTACATATGACTTCCACAGCTACAACCTCCTTTTAAAAGAATGTGTAAAAAATTGGAAACAATACACCCAGTCAGTCTAGATTAGCTCAATTTATATATTTCAGCTTTAATACTTTTTGTCCATCTAAAATAGGAAGTCTACATGTTTTTTGTCACTGTGACAAAAAAAAGCATCTTGAAAATCCAGGGGAAAAAAAACAGATCAAAAAAATAACATAAATCTCAAACTTCTTCAAAGAACAACATCAGGCCTGTTACATTAAATGAATAGATGTTTATTTTAGTTGAAATAAGAGGCATTGCTTCAGAGAAGCTAGCCTCCTACTGGAATGCAGAAACAAGAGTTCAGTTCTTAATACATTTGATTTATATCACTGAGGTAGAAATGTAGGGTTGTAACCATCTTGGGAAATAAATGTTTAAAATTCACCATTCAAACTTTTGGAGACAGAAAAAAGAACAGAGTAGATTCACATAGTATCAAAAAATGTTAACCAAATGATACCACAAAAGAGGATGATCTATGCATCTGGAATAGCTGCTAAAGCCACAACATTTAAATCAATATTTCACATACTGCATTTATTAATATGTGCTTAAGCAATTTCTTCATGCATGGCAATGCACTATAAAAATGACAACAATGCTCCTTATTAGGGCTCACAGAAAGATTATAAAACCCTGTTTAAAAACAACATGCGCTCATTTTAATGTCCATTACATGTACAAATGTCGTCATTTCATCACCAGTGCCTTTTTAGAAAGAGTCTTTTCAGGTTTAAAACCAAAACATTACAATTGATGTTCATGAGACACAAACCTGGCTGACTTATGTACATCCCCGTTACCATTCATGTTGCTGTGGATGTTTATTTAAACATATATACAAGAGGGTAAAGCCAATGCATATCTCAATGCTGTCCTCAAGACATGAATGCATTCAAGGCTGGCTTTCCACAGAATCTCATTGTTTTTCAATCAGGGATACCTGCCCAAAAAGTACTTTAAGTACACTTAGTATGCAACAAGCAAATTTGTTCAAAACAAATGAATGTTTTCAAAAAACATACAAAATATACAGCTTTAGTCAGCCCAAATGCAGTGGAACACCACAGAAGCTGATTAATGTGCAACAAAATACCAATGGAGACATAAAGTGTAGCATAGCTACACATTAGAACGAGTTTTAAACCCAAAGCTTTTAAATAATCGTCTTTAAAACATTCTCAATTGATTGAAGACAAAGATAGACGTGTGTGTCTACAGAGCTGTAACACTGATGGGACAGAAGGACAAAACATAACTGATTGTCAATAAGGAAAAAAAGTGGAGGAGGAGATTGCACAGATTTTAAAAGCAGTGTACCTTAATAAATGCATCCACATTCAAATACACCAAGAAATGTCCTTTATGGTAATAAAAGACAACAGCACTGCTCAGACCAAGGCCTTCTGCTAGGAAGCTGGTTCAAACACATTTTCTCTTAGAGGACCAGTTTAACTAAAAAATAGATTTGAAGATTACATCTCTGTGAGTAGGAAGCTCATTATCAACTCGGCAGGCCAGAGTGATGCAGGATGCAAGAGTGTTAATATAAAACAGATGGAGCGGTAATTAAAGAAGAAAAGACGAAGAAAGGAAGGAAGCTGGCAAAAAAAAAAAAAAAAAAAAAAAAAGGGGGGCACTGATATGAACATATGAGCTAATATCAAAATTCCTTTCGACGCCTTGAAAAAAACAGCCACACCGCTGACTTCACCAGAGCTTCTCTGCTTCAGGTAAACTCATCGCAATCCTGCGCTGCATCGGCATCACTGTCACAAACACAGTTCCTCCCCTCCTCCTCCAGAAACAAATGGCAACAAGATGAAAATAAATCTTGTTGCCATTTGTTTTTTTTTTTTGTTTTTTTGTTTTTAATCAGATCAATGCTGATCAAATTACTAATGTTGGCAGATACCGATGATAGCACCTGAAAAAAAATCCCAAAACAATTGCTGGGAATGTGAAGATTAGTGTACATTTCGATCTCATATTCAAATGATCAAAGCATAATTGTACTTATACTGCAATGATGGAAAAACAATGAGAATAATTAAAGGAATAAGGGTTAATCATAACAGCTACAATTTTTCTCAGGGTACAGCAATAATATCACTTTATTTTCTGTTTTTCTAATATTATGCTGCCCGAGTGTCTTCTAGGAGTTACCATGGTGATAGATCCAGGTCAGAAGTGAATTAGCTTCATCTTAAACTGAACCTGAAACTAAATTTACCTTGATAAACCTACTTCATAGTTCAGGCCAACGGTATGAACATGGCTGATCTGGGTGTAAGTGTCGTAAAATAAACAAAATAAGTTAAAAGGCCTCCATTTAGATTATACGTAACAATTGTGAGGCTTGTTAATTAGCTTTTGTTAAAATACTTGGACAAAAACATCAACGAAATAAAAAACAAACATACAAAGCCAGTTTATATGTATTTTGATGTGAAAGTGATTTTAAATTTCTTGGCTATTAGAGACGTCTGTGTTTGAGTCTGAAACCTTTGCCACAAACATGAAACGTACCGACTGCAGAAAAAACCAAAACAATATGATCCTCCTGTAGGTTTACATAATCTGATGTTTACATTTCAGGCTGTGTTTGGTATTTTATTTGACGTTTTGGAATCGAAGGCTAGTACTCGATATTACATGTATTTGATCAACATCATAGAATATAAGGCTTATTTAAACATTTGACAATGAGGATCAAAGTGCTCAATGAAATGTGAAGAAAATATTAAAAGAGACAGTCGAGAAGTTACAGCTGACTGATTTTTTTTTTTTCCCATGTAGTTATGAGCGACTCACAGCATGAAGTGCAGAAAACATTCCTGGTCATCCTGGTTTTCCAATGCCATGTTATGCCAAATCCGGCAAGTAATGTTAGAAAACAAAGATTTGTAGTTCACCTACAGCCCTCTAGAGACCATGTACCTGAAAAATGAGATTTACAAACTTAACTGACACTTTTTAGGTCCTTGGTGTGTTGTCATTCTGTCGAGTCCGAGTCCTGGCTGTTGTACTCCGCCGTCTCCATCTTGAGGATGTAGGGAATGATGCTGTCAATAGAGACGTTGCCTATCAAGCCAGTGAAGAAGAGTTCCTCTGTGATACTTGAGTTCATTAGACGAAGGGCAGGCAGACGTGTCAGGATGCGCGTTAGTCTGACGGAAAAAAGATTATTTTAGTCAGATTTTGTCCAAAATCATCCCTGATGACTTATTTCAGTCAAAAATACCTGAACAATTTCTGCTTATATTCATGAAAGTTTAGGTCAGAACCATAGACAAGCATACATACACTACACTTGAAACCATGTCTGAGGTAACATTATTTATTCCCTTATGTTGATGCTCTTATTTTAAAATGGGAGCAATAAAAATGGCTGTTGTGAAGTTTTTTTTTTTTTTTTTTGACATATTTCTATATTTTATACATCTATTTGAAAGTTAAGGTATGAAAAAGACAGTCTGGTTCTGCTGAATGATTCTTGTTTGTTCTGAGTGACCAGATTCACTTTTAGTTTGTTTACTCTTGAAATAATTCATGCCATGAATTAATATCATTAACTGACCTGTATGTGTCTTCAGGATATGTTTTTTGCACATAGTCTTGCAGCTCCATGAGGGCTTTCTCTTGGAACTTCTCAACCTGGCCGCTGCTCTCCACACCTGGGTGATCTGATCATCAGGAAAAACAACAAAAAGAAAACAACTGAAATCTATAAAAGAAAAAAGAAACTAACCTGATTGTGTAGGTTTTTTATATATATATATAAAAATATGATTTAAAATAAGTTTCTTGTATTAAAGACAGTTCTCACCAGGACTGAATAACACGATAGCCTTTAGGTAGGCGTATTCGTAGCTGTCGGTCTCCAGCCGTGTCATGCTGTTACAAAACTCCTGGAACTTCCAGATGTGCTCCATCACCTGCTTCACCCTCTCTCCAGAAAGTTTGTCTGAAAACAAAAAAGGAAACTTCTAACATTTCTGTATAGATCCCATGAAACAAATGTAGTCATGGAGTTCAGCAGGGTCCTGGGCTTGGATTTCTAGATTTAATCTTATAATCTAAGACTTTTAATTAGCAAAAAATGAGGTACACGGCTAAGCTTTTTGTATGTTAAGTTATTGTAAAGTTAGACAATTATGCAGATTTTACAAAAATAAAAGGTCTAAATGACTTGATTTTATACTTTGACATTCAGATAAATTTTAATTATTTTTTTTTTAAACTGCCCAAGTAGAAACAAGCTGTCAAATATTTACAGAAATAGGTTTTTGGGGCTTCCTGCTTTCATTTGGAAATGGTCACTAAAACAAAAACATAAACAGAGTGATGCAAGACTTATGCATCTTCACAAGAACCTAAAAAATGTGGAGTGAGTGTGGTCCACACGCATCTGGTAGAAATGATTGCATTATCTCTTCAGCATAGTATCAACTTCCAAAGACCCCTGTTACTGACAAACGCATTTAAATAAAGCATGTAGCAGCAGGGAAACATCTATGACATGCAGGACAGCGGGGCCTTTGCAGCTGGGCTGGAGATCAATGTTACAGAAAATATTGCATCTTTCAGGCTTGTCATCACAGAAACAAACTTCCCCGAATATTAATGTTTTAAGCTGGCTGATAATCAGGGGCACACACTGTCATGTTCATACCTGGGGGACAGGGCACACCACACAACTCAGAGGCTAAGACATGCAATATGTTAGCATTTAGTGCAAGCAACAACAGCTACTATCTAATAAAAATGACATTTCTTTGCTCCCGTTTTCATGTTTGTGTCCTACTGTGAGATGATGACGGGGTCTTTGGTCCATACCGTCCTGGACGCTGCTTTGCAGATGGTTGATGATGGCAGCGAGGATGGTTGACAGGTTCATCACGTGAGCGCACTGAGCAAGACCCAGGATGAACAGCTCGTTCCAGCAAGCTCGCACCAAGCTTGTGTTTGCCTCCTGACTGGGAAATGCATAAACATGTAAGACATACCACAAGCAAACAGGAGGTGGCAGCATTGCAACATGACAGGGATAGTTGACAGGGAAACTTTTGTGGCGCAGATTTCTTTTTCTCCCCCACCCAAGTGCTGAGAAGGCAGGAATGGAGCGTGCCCAGTGCATGGAGAGGAAGAGGAGTCTGGACGCCGACTCACAGATGTAGTGTACATTCAGATACTCGGGCATGGGGCTGGGCATGGTCAGCTGGAGCAAACAGAAACAGGAACAAGAACATTACAACCAGAGTTATATTAAAATAACATAAGAAGTGCGGCTGCTTCATTATCTTTGCGGTCGATTATTCTGTTGATTATTTTGACGATTAATTGATTAATCGCATTTTTAAAAATTGGCACATTCTGCAGATTTTTCATTTGTAATACGTTAAAAGATGAACGTAAAAATATTTTCAAAGAAGGGTTTAATATTTTAAGGGCAACACTTATATATTTTTGTACAGTTTTGACTTAAATCCTGCACTGAATATGTTGTTCTTTCAGCAAAAGGTTTTTTTTTTGTTTTTTGTTTTTGGAGTATTTACATTGCAGTTAACAATTAATTGATTACTAAATTAGTTAATGATTATCTCAGTAATCAATTCTTCACAATTGATCAGTTCAGTCCTAATAAAAAGCGAAAAAATCTGTTTTGTTCTGATATAAACAATTAACCATTAAGAATCATTTCAAAAACCATGCATATGGTTCGACTCTTGCCTGGTGTCTACATCAGCAAAAAAAAAAAAAAAAAAAAAAAAAAACGACATTACCAGCCCACAGAAGAAGACATTTGTCATAATCTCAGAGTTTATTAAAGGTTTGCATGCATCCTCTTTTCCATCTCAGTGGCTTTAGAAGACTCCCTCCACTCACCTTGAAACCAACATGGCTGTCGGTGAGCAGCGGTCCCTCCACCTCGATGATGGGCGTCTCTTGGTCCCGTCCAATCAGCTGGATGGTAGTCCCACTGACACACTGCGACTTCTCAGCCAGGTTCTGTTCTGCCCCTGCTTCAGGTGGGTTGAAGACTTTGGCCAGAGTGTCAAAGGCACTGCATTGAAGTACATACAAACACACGCACACACATCTTTAACTCAATTAAGAGCATAATCTATAGCAAATAATAAATAAAAGAGATTTCCCTCATTTTTAAACTACTAAATCTAATTACAACAAAACCATACACATATTTCCTGAAGGATCTGAGATGAAGGTGTAGCTGAAATACTTTGAATATGACCAACTGACCGTGTAATCTCGCTTGCAGCCTGCTCCTCCTGCTGGCTGTCGGAGGTATCACCATTGTTCAGGCTCTCTTTCAGGGAGTCGCTCAGGTTGGCAAGCGATGTCACAACATTGGCGAGCGTCCCCAGGTTTCCATGCTCAGAATCCATCTAAAGCAAACACATAATTCTCACATTATGGCATCAACTTCAGTCAAAAGACATTGATGCTGGAAGTTATTCAAAGAAGCAGAGAACAGCGTGAGGCAGCAGAGCACGGCGTATCTTTATGATCAGATGTACCTTGGAGTCTGTTGCCAACAGCAACGTCCCATCAGCCTGAATAACCGGCTGCTGGATATTAACCAGCATTCCCTGGTCCAGCAGGCTGGATCTGTACAACAATACAATGATAACCTGAGTAAATACAAAAAAGCAGTTTTCACATTATGACTTCATTTATTGCAAAGAATCGCTAAGAATATCCAAACCAACGTGGCTTTATGTAAAAAAAGTAATTGCATGGAGGATTTGGATTGCTTTTGATTCCTTAAAAATAGAATGATCTCTTAGGTTATCATTGCCTGGCATTAATAATTGTTTAAACAAGACATAAAAAAAAGAGACATTGATAATTAACAAAATACTTGTTTGCAGCGCTATATATGAACAGGTCTCATTTCTACTGACCTGGAACCATCTGTATCCGTATCAGAGATAAAGGTTGGCGTAGCGATGAGTGGGCTGTTGAGATCCTTGCGGATGTAGATCTTCTGGGTGGAGGCAGCACAGTTGGAGTGTCTTTCTCGGGGAACAACGTCGATGGGTTTCCTCTCACTCTGGACAGCTAAACATTTACACCAAGCAGAATGTTACTATTTTTTTTTTTTTGAGTAATACAACAGCTACTACTACTACTACTACTACAAATAATAATAATGACACATGACAAGTCAAGAAGAAACTGATCATCAGATATTTTCAAGGCATAAATAAAGTGAAGACAATTACAGATCAACAACAAAGAAAGTTAGTGCTTTTATCAGCAAAATGGCAAAAAGACCTGCTGAAAAATGTCTTGGTGGTACCTTCACAACTAGGCATTTACTAACCACTCTCTTAGAAAGTATAAGTAAAAAGAAAACAATGTTGTTCAGGCTCCCTTAATCCAACTAATTACATTTGTTTAACTGAAACAATATTTAAGGGCTCAATCTGGACGCAAACTCACAATCAGTTTTCATCCCCATCTTAAGGCATTTTCTCAGCCGGCAGAACTGGCAGCGGTTGCGGTGATGTTTGTTGATGACACAGTCCTGCTTACTGCGACAGCTGTAGGTGAGATTTTTCCTCACACTCCGCTTGAAGAAACCTTTGCATCCCTCACAGCTGACAGCTCCATAGTGACGCCCTGAAAGCGCACAGAAGTGTTTGAGTCCTAGTGCCGACAGAGTGAAGCTGAACAGCCAAAAGGTAGAATACCTGAAGCTTTGTCGCCACACACCACGCAATATTCCACTGGCTGAGATCGACTTAGATCTCCTGACTGTCCCAACAAACGCTCCATTGACACTGGATCTGTGACGATCTGAAGGGTAAAGGCAAGAGCAAACTCATATTTTACAAGTTTCCAATTTAAACGGTCCACATAACGTCAAGGATATATTTAAAAAAAACAGTAAAAACATTCAAACAAAGGATGCGCCAGCAGATTTCTCAACATTATGGAGCAGGGGGGGATATAGTGGAACAAATGTACCTGTATCCTTCCCGGCATCAGGCTGTCTGCAGCTGTGAAGATGACCTGCTTCGAGTTGTGAGTCTCCGGTGAGGCCAGGATAACCTTGCTCGCCCCTGAGCTGTCGGCCGTTGTCAGGATGAACTGCTGTTTTGAAGCACTGGACGGGTTCATCGCTGTCACAATCTGGATCTTCTGACACGTCTGCTGGTCGGTTACAATCTGAAGAGTCCAGGGGCAGAAGAGGGAGACAAAAAACGTGTGTGATTATTAATGCAAATAAGAAATAAAAGCATAGAGACATGTTACATGCAGCATCTGCATGGTATTGCACTGTTGATTCGATTACCTGTATTTGCTGTGGTGTTGTGGCAGGCTCTGCAGAGATGACCCGGAAGCGCTGGGGAGACTCACCCATCACTGGATCTGATGGAGAGCATGACCCCTAACCCAGTTAAGCACAAATAATTTTTTGTCAGCTAGCAAACACAAATATAGTTCTTAAATCTGGAATCCATAGAAACATTATTTCTGTGGAAGTATTATAAAAAGTATTGTGGAATGTTATGGATTCATAACACTTTATGAATCCATTAAAATAATTTGACTGTGTGATGTGAAACAAAACAGGAGGAAAGCCTTTCTCTGTACACTGACCTCTGCCTCATGCTCAGAGTCTGATTTCTGCTGAGAGAGCAGATTCAGGTTGGTCGCCATGATCACGTGGAGTCATTAGTGAGGTCTGAGGAATGCAAGAGACTTTATTCATAAACAGGTTTATTATATTTTTTATATATATAATCCAAACTAAACTGGGGTGTGACATATTGGTGTTTTCTTTCATAAAGGCTGATAATAGTAATGTTTTGAACTTGTTTCTAAGCGATCATTTAGACTAAATTACACTGGCTATGAGTTCCCCTATAAAAGGTCAAATGTGAAACTGCAGCTGCATTTTGAAAGTTGTAATCCTCAAAAATCAATGTGAGGTTCACAACGCATTTCCACATCTTATTAAGTACAAAAATGTTCATCATTTGCGCCTTTCTGTAATCACATATTTTCATTTTTACACCTTTACATAACCTTTATTAGTCAGCGTTACTTTAACAAAGACTCCAGCTGCAGCTGATTAATGTACCTGCAGTAGTCCACCGGGAGGAGCGTGAGGCTTCATGTTGTTTACAGATTGGCTGAACAGTTTGTCCATCAGTAACTTCACTCCAAACACAAAACAGAACAAAATGGAGAATCTGGCGTTTGGCCAATATAACCGCAGACGTTATGATAATTGGTATAATGAAACGATTTTCTTAATAGGCAGTGGAGTGGGTGACATCTAATATTCTGATTGGAGATGCAAAAAAAAAAAATCAGCTTTTCCAAATAAATCTCTGACAGACATTTCCATCCACTCGTGTCAGCTGGATGGCAAAGGTAAAAGGGTCGAGTTCATCCGGTGTTAGCTGCCGCTGCTAGCTTAGATGCATATAAACCTATGGTAGGCTATGGAGCAGCAACTAGCGGGGTCTGCCTCTGAGATTCACAATGCAGGGAGCACAACAAATCAACAGCGTTGTCATTAGTTAATAATCAGCTAAAGTGTCTGTGCCGACAGCCAGACTGCGCGCAGTTTGTTTCTGTTCATCCCCGGAGGTAAAGCACCCGCAGCCGGACAGGAAGCTAAGCAGCTAGCTGCTGTTTTGTGACCCAGCGCTGCTTCTTCATAGGGCTTTAATGCTTCCAGTCCAGGACTGACACTCACCTCAGAGGGCCGCCGCTCTCAGCTTTAAGGCGCTCGGTTGTTTTATAAAAAATAATAATTATTTTCTTCTGTTAAAGGTCATAGTTCGTGACCCCCGCACCAACAGCGCATTGATGATGATGATGATGATGATGTTTTTTCCCTCTTCTTCCTCCTCCCTCTCAGTCCGCGTGCCTCAACCCCCCCACTCCAAGCCTTAGCGCGAGCCAGACAGGGTTGACGTCATAATGTCTGGAGACTTGTCAAATTAAGCGTATTAAAAAAAAATAACGAGATAAAAAACAATTTCAATTTAGGTATTATTTAGCTTTCTTGATAGGTTTCTGCGTGTCACTGTGTGCGTGAATGGTAATGACTGATTTCATTGTAAAGTGGCTCTGAGTGTCTTGATAAGCTCTATATAAATCTAATGACAATTTGTTTTTTTGTAAAATTAGTGTATTTCACCCTGTCATGTTTTCTGGTTGTGATAAATTATGATTACGTGAGTTACAGTTAATTATAATTTCTGTATGGTTTTGCACGCTTTAAAACTCAATCCGTATTCCCTTATGGGTTTAAAGACAATGGCCATAACAAAGCCCTGATGTTACCCCAGTGGAGACATTGTTGTCTAAAAAGGTGTGTGTGACTAAGACGGCCTATAAAACTAACTGAGTTACACAAGTTCTGTCAGGAGGAATGTGCCAGAACTCTAGCAAACTGTGAGAAGTTTGTGGAAGGAAACCTGAAAGGTTTGACCCACGTCATCCAGTTTATAAAACAATCACCGATGTTAACCAAATTTGAAGAAGGTTACAACACAATTTCTTAAAAATGTTCTTGCTAGGTTTTCTGGCTGGCATTTAGCAAATAGAAATGATTTTTGGTAATTCTAAACAACCTAAAGCCAGAGGAATTTGTTCAGATTTAACGTCAAAATGTGTATCTTTATATGGATTTTAACTGCATTCATCATGATCAAATATGCTCAGTTTTTTTCTTTTCTTAGAATTTTGACTTCAGTTTCCCAAATGATTTAAATATTAGATCAGTAAGAAAGAAAAACATTCTGTCTCTTTCAAGCCATTAACAATGCAGATGTTAATGGCTTTTACATCTGCATTGCTGGTCAGTATTAGATCAGTAAGAAAGAAAAACATTCTGTCTCTTGAAAAACATACCCATGTTTTGTACAGTACATACTTGCTTGGGGCTCCTTTTTGCATAGATTTATGAAATGCATCACAGAATGGAAGCAGTCACTCTGTGGTTCTGCTAAAGTGCTAAGGAAGCTCGGGTGACTTTGTTAATGGCTTTACATCTGCATTGCTGGATCTGACGTAGTTGATCTTCCTCTTAACAATACTCCATATATTTTCTATGGGAGGTGCGTTTGCTGGAAATATTTGTACTTTGTAATTCTGGGCAGGTGTCAAGTCCTGCTGGAAAACGAACATTTGCATTTCTACAAATCTTCTCAGTAGGCACTAAAATTGATTACTAGGCTGTTCTAACTTTGGACTGCATAAACACAGTGGACTAAAACCAGCAGACCACATGGCTCCTCAAGTTGCCAGACTGGAAACTTCACTGGAAAATGGAAACTCAACCAGCATGGATTCTAAACTTCTCCACTCTTGCTACAGACAAAGCGTTGTTTGGACCACTGAGCACCGATTCAGTCCCATTTCTCCAAAGTTCCAGTGAAACACTGCTGACCATCATCTAACTGTCTTGCAACAGAGGCAGCCCATATCCTGTAATTGTCTGTCCAGGATGTGACCCTGTGTGTTTTCACAAGCAACTGGAGGTCATTTGTGAAAAGTGAGGACATTTTCTGGTCATCATTTTTTATGTATTTACTTTTTTTTTCAATTGTACGTAGCTCTACCAGTAAGGTTTAGAGAGGTATGATGTGCATTATGTTTTGGACATTTTTAGGAATAAACTTGCAGTTTGGGAAAATGTCTGGGTATAAAGTTTGTATTTATTTGTTTTATTTATGTGTCAGATGTGTCACAGCTGACTCATTTTTAGGGTGACATGGTTACAAAGTGTAATCATGCACACGTAATTATAACTATTATATTATTATTATAATTATTGTAATTATGTGTTCTTTATGTGCGTAGTGAAAGTTAAAAAGAGATAAGAAGTAAAGCCTTACAGATAGATTTAAGGATAAACATAGATGCTTACTAATTGAGTAGAAATTTAAATTTAGACGTTTGTGTCATACAGCAGACATGAACGAGTACTTTTTTCATGAAATGTTGTCTTTCAAAGTTAGAAATCAACCATATGCAGTTTTTACCAATGCAATTTAAGTGAACATCTTTTTTGTCTTATAATGTAAAAAGATTTTGTGTTGAATTTCAAAGAATACAATGCAGTGGGTCCAACAAACCTACAATGGATGAGTCCCCAAAATACAACCACCACACAGAGGTTAGTTTATTTTTCTAACTGCTTGGCTGTCATTAATTCATAAAAATAATCACATGGGATGTATCACACTGTGTACAATGGATCCTTAACGAGTTTTTTATTTTTTTATTTTTATCAACTTTAATGACGTTTAACCAAGGAGTTGACCTTGAAGGATGTTTTGAAACAAGAAAACCTGACAACCAATCTCTATTTATCATACTCAAAAATAGCCAGTAGGTGTCGCACAAAGTTCAGGTGTAAGGATGACAATAGGCGAACGCGAGAGCTTAAGTCATATAACGCTTTATGAGTATTATCCGCATATTTTTTCATCAATCCATTTTTTTTTCTTTTCATCTTATCGTCGCTGTTTGATCAGCTTAATTCTAAGTGTTGTCTTTACCGGACTCCAAAAACGACCAGCATACGTTCTCTGCGGACATTCAGTAAACGTTGGATGGAAGTTTTCTGAACCTTCAGTACATGATCGGATGGATATTAAAATATGATCAAAAACTGGGTTGGTGCGCCTCAGCAGGATATCGGACGTACCATCAATTTGTGGGGGAGAATCACTGAAGCCATTAAATAAGAGGACCGGGGCACAGATTTGCCATCGGCCGCGCTGCCTGACCTCTTAACAACAACAACAACAAAAAAAAAGCAGTAAAATCTGCGGCGAACCGCTGCCAGATCGACCGCTCCATTTGCGCAACTGCACATCCCCCCAAATCAAAGACAAAAGGCTGCAGCAGAAACGAAAAGCTACCGGAGCTGCCGCAGAGAAAGGTGGAGGAGAGTGCAGCGGACCCAGAGGTGAGGACATGCCGCAAGAGGAATGCGTCTTCACGTGAAGCAACGATAGGAGTGGGGGGGAGGAAAGCAGCGAGAAGACAGGGATATTTCTTTTGTTGTTGCTTGCAACACTAGCAGCAGGAGAGAAGGTGATGATGATGGTGATCACGGTCGGAAAGGGATGTTGCAAGCCCAGGTTAGGAAAGCGCGGAAACAGGACGGGGATCTTTCCGTCGCTGTGCGGGATCCTGGCGTGCGCCGCGGTGCTCGCGCTGCTCTTCCTGGACATCATTGAGACGTGGGTCACCTCGATGGGCATGAGCAGGGCGGTGGAGCCGCATGTCGCCATCGTCTCGCCCCAGAGCCTACCCCCCTCCAAACCAGAGGAGTTCCTGCTCATGCCCAGCCCGCTGGTGTGTCAGCGCGCCAAGCCGTACCTCATTGCCATAGTGACCTCAGCACCTGCCAATCAGCGGGCTCGTCAGGCCATCAGAGACACCTGGGGCGGACAGGTGGAGGTGCGGGGCCTGCGGGTCATGACCCTCTTCATGGTGGGCGTGGCCTCTGACCCCGGCCTGGGAAAGCTGCTGATACAAGAAGCCAGGGAGAAAGGGGACCTGATCCAGGGCCGGTTCTTGGACTCCTACTCCAACCTTACCCTGAAGACCCTGGCCATGCTGGGCTGGGCCCGCAGGTTCTGCCCTCAGGCTCACTTCTTGGCCAAAGTGGACGATGACGTCTTCTTCAATCCCAGCGTTCTTCTGCACTTCCTAAACAAAAGCCGGAACCCTTATGAGCAAGGGGACTTGTACCTGGGTAGAGTCCATCTCCACGTGGCCCCAAACCGAGACCCAGACAGCAAGCACTACCTCCCCTCAGGGGCCTACCCTTTGTCTGTGTTCCCCGACTATTGCAGCGGCACAGCCTACGTCTTTTCTCGCTCTGCATTGCTCAAAGTTGCCCTTGCAGCATCGGCATCGCCTCTGTCCACTCCTTTGCCCCCCGAGGATGTGTTCGTCGGCCTCTGCGCCTATGCTGCTGGAGTGCGGCCCTCACATTGCTCTCTCTTCTCTGGGGGTCCACCTGTGCCATACGGACGCTGCTGCTATCAAGCTATGGTGTCCGTCCACCAAATCACACCCAAGGAGATGCTGGACTACTGGAAAGATGTCCATTCACCCCCCACCTGCTCCTGGCTGAGTCAGCGAGCTTCTCTGGGGATGTGCAAAGTCAGGGCGATGCTGGGCTCAGCCCTGGGCCTGGAGAAATGACTGTGACTGCCATTAGGAGGTTATAGGACTCACTGGCACTCTGCCTTGCACAACTGTTCTACAAGCTGTGAATCTACCTGCACTGATAGCATTTAGGTTAATTGTCATCATTAGAGCTTTATTTTTATAAGAACGTCAATTTTTGTTTTCTTTTCCCCCTCAGAAAACAGGATAATTTCAGGTTTTCTAAGTCTTTGTCTCACACCATCTAGCTTTGACAACATGCAGCTGAGAAACAAATATAAGCATGCTGCTTATATTGTACAACTGCTCACAATGAATGCACATAGGAGAAATGCTTTCAGACGCCGCCGTCTGAGTCCGATATCGAAACATCAAGACAAGCAGTCTGTTACAAGCTGCTTTAATTTAGAACTTAGTCTAAAAGCCTAGATGCATGTATTGCAAAAAATAATACCATTAGATTCAGTTCCATCAAACAACACAAATGAAGCTCCCTAAAAAAATACTCCAAAATAGAACTTTAATTTTTAACATTTATTGTATGTATGACATTTAAATGGTGGCACTTAGCAGACTGCTAAAAAAGTGAGGTTTAAATGATCAGTTCCAGTGACTAAAAGTGATTCATCTGATAGGTGTCTCACAAATGAAGAGCGGCACTATACTGTTAACGGTGAAATAATTTCACTAAGGATGCGCTACAATTTTGGTGTGCCTTGTTAATAAAAATAAATGTTTATTATGAACTGTAGGATGTATGCATTTCCTGAGTGTTTTTCTTTCTTCTTTTTCTCACTCAGGAAATGTATGAATCAAATTCTGGCGCCAATAAACAATCACGTGTGAGATGAAACTGGTCTGCGCATTTTCCTTTCAGTTTCTACAAATCAACAAGATCAACTAATCCTGAGTTCGGATGACATCAGTTGAGCTTAGAAAAATTGCTTCAGGACACATAATACCATGATTACCCAAAGACATAAACCCTTTTGTAAATAATTAACTACAAATACTTTTTTGCGCTCAAAATAAATAGTTTCCAGACAAATATGGACAAATAACTCAGAAAATGCACTTAAGTTTCTTTATGAAACATTTTGTTGGGGGTGAGGTTAGCTCTACTGACTTACTATTAATTTCAAGTCTTTCATGCAATGTTAGGAAAATAAATTTAAAATATGCTAGTTTTTGAACTTAACTATATGTAGTTGGGGACAAGTTTGATTATATTGGTTTTAGCAACATTTAACCTTGGTGCATGCGAAATATTAGAGCATGAATATTTTGAGTAGATTTTAATTTAGGTAGATTTGGATAATGATTCAATTTAAAATAACGACTGATTGTCTTAACTGACATAAAATCACTAACAGCGTTTTGAAAAGGGCCTTCAGTAGAGAATGTCTTCTAACAGAGGAAACAGGTGTGTTGTTCACAAAAACAAAAGTAATGGGGAGAAACAGGATGGGAGAGATACCTTATGTCTGTTTACTACAAGGTCAAATTCTTTGGTGTCTTCTTTGAGGTCAGAAGAACACTAAAATCTTGAGAAAACAAAACTAGTATTTGGGAATCACTCAGGCAGGAAAAGCGAGTAATGTCTATGTGAAAAATATATCTCTTTCTGGTAATTAGGGTCTTTGTGCAAATGTTTAGGAAGGGAGGAATTCTGAGAGATTCCAGATGTAACTGGCATGAGAACATCCTGTCTTGAGAGTGACCTTTGCTCTCTCTTTCTCTTTCTCTTTGGTTTTGAATAGGTCTCCCCATCCTATCCAAGTAATTTGAAACTGCTTAGAGGCTTAGAAGGAGAGGATACACCTTCAATGCATATACTAAAATTAGGAATACCCCTCTTAATAGAAACCTCCACTTCACAGAAGCAAATCGAATTGCTTTGTTTGCAGCCATGAGCAGTTCCCAAAGGCGCCTTTGCTTTTTCTCTTATTTTTGTATTTTGTTCATTTTTCTACTTTTCTCAGGTAATTAATATCTGTTTTATGGTTTGGACTTCTTGATGGGTTGGGAGTGATGCTGATCTGTTTTTCTACGCATTTGATTGTCTGAATAAAACCCTAGATATGTCTGAAGATGAATGGCGACTGGTTGTTCTCTGTGTGGTTTCCACTGTTGTACATGCAGAACTCTGAATTCGGGAAAATAGAGGAAAATAACAAGCAAAGAAGTTTAACATTTTTTTCCTCTAACACAACAACAGTTGTGGTCAAAGGTTATATAAATAGATACATATTAGTTTGGGCTTTTGTTGATCTATTTCCTCTGCTTCTTTTTCTTGATTTACTTATTTTTTCTACATAGAACCAGGTTGATTTGGATAGCTTTCCTCCTCTGAAATGAAAGTATTTATTGAGAAAGAAAGTTTTATTCCTTGAATTTACACAGGTTGCATCTCTCAGATTTCAACGTTTATTTTATCATTCGAACCACTTCAGAGTGATTTAAAAAGAGGACAGAATCCATCCATATACATTCTTGTCCCTAGTGGGGTCAGGAGGTGTGCTGGTACCCATCCCCGGCGAATGTTCCGGGCGAGAGGCAGGGTTCACTCTGGACAGGTCGCCAGTCTGTCGCAGGGCAACACAGAGACAGACAGGACAAACAACCATGCGCACACACAAACGTAGGAAGAATTTAGAAAAACTAATTAACCTGACAGTCATGTTTTTGGACTTTGGGAGGAAGCCAGAGTACCCGGAGAGAACCCACGCATGCACAGGGAGAACATGCAAACTCCATGCAGAAAGACCCCAGCCCACAAATTGAACCCAGGATCTTCTTGCTGCAAAGCAACAGCTCTACCAACTGCACCACTGTGCAGCCTAGAAAACAGAATAAACATGCAAAATGTGAGGAAAGTTCTTCTTGGCTCTGTATTCTTCTGGGCATGTTTTTGAGAGAAAGTGGGGCTTTAAAACTTACGGACACAGAGCCTACTGCAGCATAATGCCGTGATAGTCATTCACTATCTCTTATTTCACTGTAAGGTACATGGAATATGCAAAGAGACAGATGAACACTAAACACAAATATATGCGTCAATGCTTGAATGTGTCACAGGTGCCACACAGACAGTGTTATTTTAAGAGTTCCACCTTCAAACTCCCCGCTATGTTAAAACCGCCAAGTGGTTTACCAGGACAAGTAAACCTAGAAGTGGTTTACCAGGACAAGTAAACCTAGAAGTGGTTTACCAGGACAAGTAAACCTAGAAGTGGTTTACTTGTAGGTTTCAATGAAAGGAAGCATTATCTGTCAATGTATAAAAAAAAATCAGCAACTCCCTAAAAGGGCAGAGATGATGAGAAACTACAATTTATACAACATAAGTTTGAAAGGTTTCGTTTCTGTGAACTTGCAGTCCTGCTTCAGAACTTTCCAGGAAAATACAATATGCAAAACTTGTATGACTCATCTGTGCCAGACAACAAACATGTATTCACTTTAACAAACGACTACAGGTTTTGCTTCCAAAGGAGTTGAGCAATGTGGTGAAACCTGTCAGAGGCCTTCCAAGTCTTTTTAGTTTGGAGGCCTTCCAAACTAAAAAGACTTGGAATTCATCACCATAAACAGAAGTTCAAAATGCCAACACAGACATGTAAAAAAAATGTTCAGCCCTTATAAGGTTTTGATTACTATCAGATGAATCACTTTTAGTCACTGATGAGGGTAGAAATGTTTTTTGACATGCAATTTTTTTTTTCTTTAGCAAAACTAACAAAAACAGCTATGCTATTTTGATACCGCCTACTTTAGAAGTTTCAAGACTTTTAAGATGACTGTCTCAATTCCTAACAGATACAATGTTCTTCTAAATCTTCCAGAGGTGTGAATCATGTTGGACTTACCGAAAGAAGCATACAATTTGATAATTTTCTGTTAAAAATCTAAAGGAAGTTTTAGGTACCGGTTTCATACGATTTAAACAGAATCCAAAAGGCATTTGTGAATTTAAATGGATTTAGAGCAAGATTTCCTTGAACATCATTATATTCTTGCATTTATCCCTTTAAATTGTTGTCAAGCAACTCTGCACAACAGTCTACTCATTTTGCTTCTATAAAAATATTAAACAAGTTATCTCAGCAAAATAACCACAACTGACAAGGTCAAACATGCAGGGAAAGTTTTTATTGGTACTAAAAGAAGAATCTGGGTGACTGCTGCCATCCACCACATGATCACAAACAGGATGTGCTTCAGGCTACAGTCAATAATTAGAGCAGACCAACCGGTGCTCTCATCAATGATTTCATGAACTGTTTCCCAACAGAACCCGGGCCAGACTTTGCACCATGTAGCTGCCCACGACACCAAGAACCTCTGCTTTCGATGTCCTCGCAAACCACTGAGTCGTAAAAACAAAAAGAAGTTTCAACGTGAAGGTCAAAGATCCCGCCCACAGAACGTCACTGCGTTTGAGTTGCACAAAGAGTCCTTTTCTATTTTTTGAATCTGTCCAGAGCAGATCTTTTTCCAGACAGTGCTGCTTTCTTCTCCTTCATCCTGTTTCGCTCTTCCTCCAGTTTCATTCTGTCCTCCACAGTTTTTCTGATAACGTCCTGCAAAGGCCAGCAAGCAAACTGGATTATACACACGCTGGAGAACAAGTAGGTGGTTTTACTGACATGAACAACATCTACAAAAAAAGGTGATCACAAAAATTATCCTTTGATAATGAATAAGAAATTGAATATTGTTTGAAGGGTTCTGTTAGATTAAGAGGAATAAGCCTTAGATTAAAATTCCCATACCTCAGCTCCCATATCTAAGGTTGTTGGCTAAGAAACAGATGTGACGGCTTTCGTTAACACAACGCAACACAGAAAAAAAACGACTTGGGACACATCTAGACATAGCAGCCTTAAAAATATACCCACCTCTTTCTCTTTTTCCACATTTGTTGAATTACAATCACAAATTTCAGTGTCTTTCATTGAGATCAACACAAAGTAGTACATAATTGTGAAGTGGTAGGAAATAAATATTTTATTTATTTCTAATGTCTAAAAATCTGAACCGTGTGGCATGCATTTGTATTCTACCCCTTTACTCCTGTGTCCCACAATAGAGAGTAGGTGCAACCAGCTGCACTCAGAAGTTGACATGCAGGTCATTTCAATCTAGCTATTCTGGGAAAGTCTTAATAAAAACTTTCCACATTGTTAAAGACTCCGTTTTCCACTGTTTGACCACTTATGTACATAGGTTGATGTTAAAAGTATAAAATACCAGTAACTGTAAAGGGAGGAGAGAGACAACAGGAGACAGAAGGAACAATGGAACAATATATTGAATGATAGAGGGGTAGACAAAAACATAACAGCCAGAGCTGGAAAGCAATTTCCCTTTCACTTCACAACTATCCACTATTTTGTTGGCCCATCATAAAATCCCGCAGAAATACTTCTTTTTAACTGTGAAAAATGAGGAAATGTTACAGGGCCGACTTTAAGGAACTGCTTACCCTCTGGTCCTCATGGGCCACTTGCCTCTTCCGCCTTTCAATACCAGCAGCAGAACTGCGACCTTTTTTCTTATGTTTCGGAACAAATTTCTCTTTGCCAAGTGGATCAAAGCCCTGAAAGAGAAGACTTATACTTTTACAAACTGCACATTTTACACCTTCGGTGCAGTAAATCATATCAAGAGATGCATCTGAATAAAAAGTCTACCAACTGACCAGAGCTTCGACTCTGTCTTGATGCCTCTGCTCAAAGTTAGCACGATCAACATAACCCAGCTCTGAGGGGTCCAGAGTAATGAGTTCAGGCTGAATCTTCTCCAGCAGAGCCTTGACCTCCCACTCCTGCCTCTGCTTTGCACTGCGGTATGGATTTGTATCCAGACCATCAAAGTTAGGCTCACCAGCCCCTGAGATTGGAAAAAAGGCAAAAACAGAGTAAACAAACAATGACTTTAGAAATTTTTCTTTAAATAGAACAATATTTCTATTTATATCCAAAATAAATAAACTATGATGCTATTGGTAAAAAATTATAGTTATTTTGTGCTGCAAAAGTGTTTCACGCTTCATCAGACTCCAAATAATCTAAGAAACAAGTGCAAAGTTTGGTCTTTACATTTTCTTATTGACATTGAAACTTTATACTAGAAAACTGCATACATAAAGGCAAACATCCATTTTTGCTCATAAGAACCCAGGAGCATGAACAATAATATTTTTGTCGTTTGACCACAGATATTATGCAAAACCCCATTGCAATGCTACCAATGCCCTTCTAAAAACAGATTTTAGATTTCAAATGCTTTCTGGTCAAAAGTTTTAATACTTCCTGAGGCCTTCAGGGAATTTGTGCATAAAAGCTCAAACACCGCAGAGGCTATGTTGAACTGAAAGCTACAAAGACGAGCTGACCTGGTACGAGCATGCTGGTGAAACCCTCTCCATGTCCAACTCCGAGGACATCCTCAAAGGGGCAAAAGCCAAGTCCCCAAACTGATCCTCGCACCCGGTGAGCCATGTAGGGTTTAGTGACTGGCGTGCTCCAAACATCCCTGTAAACCTGGAGGGAGAGACTAAAAAAAGTTACCTAGATTCACTGGAAGGATTTATAGATTACTTTCTAAAACAAAAGAAAATTCAAGTTCTGAAAACGTCCTGCTAAATAATCCTACTCCTCCAACAGGAAACAGAAACATTTAAATCAACTCCACCAAATGTGATAAGAGGAATCCTTAGATATCTAGCAAAAAATTATCCCAGGAAATTAATGATTACTATAACGGTGCAGTTGTCCTGCAACATGTAAAGAGATATATAAACAAAGAAGAGGTGTGTATAATATTGACCAGGTGTGGAACAGAAAGAAAAGCCATACAAAAATTAAAACTTGTGCACCAAATTCTTGCTTTAAGAAATTACTGTAGCAGTTTGGAAAAAGATTTTAATCCTATAAAAACAGTTACAAAGCATCAATAAAGAAAAAAAAAACTTCTCTTGGCTCTGATTGGCTGCTCATAGGAGCACTTAGAAGAGGCAAAGGAGCGACATTTATTCACAGATCACCTATCTCTACTATGCTGTCACAACACAGTGGCGCTTTTGAAAGCATTTCATTTATAAAAATTACACACTGCAGCTTTCCAGACCACTTCTTAAAACGCCACAGTTTCCAACCCACATCAAGATAGTGAAGGCCCATTTCCTTGCACTCAGATTGCTATCTCTGCAGAGCTTTGGAGACAGTCACCTGAACAATGTCCCCTGTGGCTGCAGACAGCAGTCCTCTCTGGCTCAGAGACAAACATGAAGCTCCAGTAGGAAGGAAGTAGGACCTGAGGGGCTTGAAAGCTCTGATGTCAAAGACTTTCATTTTTTTATCCATTCCAGATGTAACCATGTATCTGCCGGAAGACACAAAAAAAGCCCCGAAAGTCATCATGAAAGGTAGCTCTCTAAGTAAAGTTACAAAATTACAATGCATATTAACATGCTGATGGTGTAATAAAAAAAAATCCAGACAGCACTCGACTGTCATCCTAGTTTTTTTTTTGTGTGTTTTTGCTGAACAATTTTCACATCTGACAAATTGTTGGAGCAATAAAGGCAAAGCAAAAATACTTATTTTTCTGTCAAGAGAGCTGTCAAATATAAATGATGAAGGAATAAACACAAGTATTAAACACAAAAAAAAGGCATTTAAATGCCATTTCTACCGCAGCTATTGTTACAAGCATTTACAAACTTTTAATTCTAAATTTTTTCGATAAGAAATCAAGCAACTTGCATGTGACTCACGTGCCAGTTTTATCCACAGTGACTGAACGGACGCCACCCTGGTGACAGAGCATTTTGACCAGGGCTTCTTTCTGATTAGGTGACCAAAGCGTAACTGTGCCGTTGGGGTGGCCGAGGTGGATGACAGCGTTGTGAGGGTTCTGGCACATCACATCAAGCCGGCCGGTCTTGGTGCAGATGGCTGCCACCTCCTTTCCAATGGACACATCCAAGTACTGCAGAAAGCCCGTTGCACTCTGCAGGCAAGAATGAACAAACTAGAATAATTTGTGGATAAAGGGCTTCTAACCAATAAAAACATCCATTAGAGACCAATTCTGGGATGATAATATAGGGGATGCATGAGAAAATGAATCTGAAGAATCACCTTAAAGGCAAGGTATTATGTATTTTAAAGAAATATTGTGCCATTTTATAGCACAATCAAGTACTTATGTTAACAATCAGTTTTTTTTTCATAAAAATGATGTATATGTATATATCAAGTATGACTTAAAATAAGTTTGACTTCGTAATTTGACACCACTTTAAAAGTTTTAAGGCACTTGGATGTGCCTCAGCATATTTGTTGTGATTTAACGCAACAACACATTTCTAAGCTGAAAGTTGTTGAAATAAGAAAGTTGAAGAGGACATGAATAGGCTTGCAATATGACGCACATTTGGGATGACAAGTAATGTCAAGTATGAGGAATCTACTGCAGGGAAGCTCCACAGTGCATGAATTCACACACTGCATGTTCAGAGAAAACATTTCTCCCTCCACTTGGAACAGGCCATTTGGATTAGCATCTGGCCAAACATCTGGCCAGACACAGCCCCAGACACAGCGACGCCATAATTACATTTTTGAGCTGCGCTCAACTCTGGCTATCAGAGACAAAGCAGCGAGATTAATATCTTATTACCACTTTTATCACAATCTCAAATCGTGGGACGAGCAAACAAAATTACCAAGACGAAGAAGTTTGGTTGCCCATAAAATAGCACAGCAGGATGTTTTATCACCCAAACTTATCTAATCAGATGCTCGCAAACGACTGTCACTGTGCTTGCATGCACAACACACTGTCCTGCTTCTCTTGTGTGTGGCAGAAAACACCAATCTTGACAAAAGTTAAACAAAAACAGACCGATGTCTTTCATCAAATCAGAATGCCCCTTGTAAACACTGCATTCAAAAACAGTTTTATTCGTCAACTTTGTGGACACAAACAAGAACTTTGACTTTGGTTCTGGCATCTGATGCGAGTCTAACCCGTAGATTGAAATTCAATTATATATATATATATATATATATA